ATTTTAATAACGTTCTATTTGTGATTCCTTTTAAAATAATTTATTTATTATTTTTATTTTATGTGTATGAGTGTACTGCCTGCATGTATGTCAGCAATGTCATGCAATGCCCTCGGAGGTCAGAAGAGGGTGTCAGATTCCCTGGAACTGGAGTTACGGAGGGTTGTTAGCTACCATGTGGGTGCTGGGAATCAAACTTGAGTCCTCTACAAGAGCAGCCAGTGCTCTTAACTGCTGAGCCATTTTTCCAGCCCCACTGTCTTTTTTTAAAATTAGCTTACAAAGCAGGTTTCCTTATGACATTTTCATACATAGGAGAGCCATATTCCCCCTGCCCCCTTTCTGAGATAGGGTCTCTCACTGTATAGCCCTGGCTGGCCTGGAACTCACTATACAGATCAAGCTGGCATTGAACCCAGAGCCTTGAGTATTCTACAAAGTGCTCCGGCACTGAGAATTAATGCTTTAAAAAACAAACTTTAAATTGTTTGCATACTTGAGTGTTATGTTACCTTCTGAGATCTTAATTTACCATATGTAACCCAATGTGTGTATACATATCTGTTTAGTACCATGTATTCTTTTTAATGAGACTACTACATGTGTATCTTCACTTGACTTGTTTTCCCTCCCTTTACAAATCAGGCTGGCCTTAATACATGATTATCCTGCTTCAGTTTTCTGTGTGTTGGGATTATAGGCAAGTGTTACCATGCCTGACTCTAACCTTGCTTTTGATCACTCCACATACTATAATATCCTTTACATTATTTAACTACACCAAGCTTCCCTCATTTTCTGAAATCAGTCTTTTTCCCCCTCAGTGCTAGAGAGTGAACTCAGGACCTTCCACATGCTAGTCAATCATCTCACTAATGACCTACACCTGTAGCCCCAATTGACTTACCCTTTTTTGGATTTTTTTATTTATTTTTTAAATTTTAGATAGGCTCTTGTATCTTGGGCTGCCTTCACACTTGCTATGTGGCTGAGGAGGAACCTGAAGTCCTGATCCTCCTGCCTCCACCTCTGGAGTGGAATTAAAGGTGTGCATCACCATGCCATTTTACAAGATAGTGGGAATTGGACCGAGGATGTTGTGCATGTTAGGCAAGCACAACATCAGCTGAGCTACTTTTGGAAAAGGGTCTCATTATGTAGCCCAGGCAAGCATTACCACAACAGGCACCCAAATTCTTTTTTCCCCTTTTCTTAAAGCCAGGTTTAAGTTTGGCCTTGAACCCAAATTCATTTGATTATGAGACAGAGTCTCCCTATATAGTCTCAAACTCAAGGTTTTCCTTCTTAAGCCTTCTCGTAAGTACTGAGGATTAAGTGTGCCACAGTGCCTTGTTTAACAAATTTTCTCCTATACAATATTTGTTCTCTTTTGGGATTTGAGTCAGATTTTTATCTACAGTGAAAATAACAAATTGAAGCCAGGCATGATGGCTCACACCTGTAATTCCAACATTTAGGGAGGTGAGGCAGGATTACCATGTGTTCTGGGTCAGTCTGGGCTACACAGTAAGCAATAGGACAGCCTGGGCTAGGAGTAAGACAATGTACCAAAAATGATTAACTGACAAAAATAATAAGAAAATTCAAGAGCCAATCATTTCTCTGTGTTGTAGCTAGTAATTTGAGAGAAAATATAAAAACCCAATTTAAAATTTTGTTGCATGTTACTTATACTGACAAGTATTGGGATTTACAATATTTTTAGAGTATTTGGGTGTGCTTGCCCATACTGGCATATGCAGAGGCCAGAGGTTGGTGTCAGGATGTCTTTACATGTTAACTTTTAGCCAGTATCTTTTACTGAACCTGAAGCTTGTCATTTTAAAGAGATTGGCTGGCCAGGGAATTGGCCAGAATCCAGAATCCAGTTGTCCTGACCTCGAAGGTAGTGCTACAGCAATGGGTATGCACTAGCATGCCTGGCTTTTTATGTGGGTTCTGGAATTCAAATTTAGGTCCTTATATAAGTTTTCCCAGCAAGCACTTTACCCACCAAGCCATCTCCCTAGCCCCAGAATATTCGTTCGTTCTCTCTCTCTCTCTCTCTCTCTCTCTCTCTCTCTCTCTCTCTCTCTCTCTCTCTCTCTCTCTCTCTCTCTCTCTCTCTCTCTCTCTCTCTCTCTCACTTTTATAAAGATTATTATTATTTTTTGGTCTCTTTGAGACAGCGTCTCCCTGTAGCCTCAGCTGGCCTGGAACTCACTATGTAGACCAGGCTGGCCTTGAACTCAGATTTGCTTGCTTCTGCCTCCAGAGTGCTGGGACTAAAAGGCATGCACCAACACACCTGGCTACAGCAAGTACTCTTAATCCTTGGGCTAGCTCTCTAGCCCACAGGATTCACAAATTTAAAGCCTGAGAAAAATGAGCTCCCCAAGGATATTATTTTCAGAGTAACATTTTTTATATTATAATCATTTTTAAATGATTAGCTACAAAAAACTCGGGAGTGTATTTATTTTATTTTAATTAATTAATTAATTAATTTAATTTTTGGTCTTTTTGAGACAGGGTCTCTTTGTAGCCCCAGCTGACCTGGAACTCACTATGCAGACGAGGCTGGCCTTGAACTCACAGAAATACGCCTGCCTCTGCCTCCCGAGTGCTAGAATTAAAGGCATATGCCACCACACCCGGTGAGTGTTATTTGTTTTTATGCATGCGTCTAAGAAGTGACAAAGGAAGAACAGAGATTATAACACTGGGCTTGATGCCCAGCACCACACAGAGAGAGACAGAAAGAGGACAGCAAGTGAGAGAAGAGAGAGTGAAGGAGCACACACTGGAAAGAGCAACTTGGAGCACAGACCAGACAGTGAATACTGACTGCTACCACTGATAGCTCTTTCAGGGTGCTACATGGTTTCTAGCCATCTATGAGTTCCTTACTTCACTCTGGAGGATCATATATTTTGCATGGGTGACCCTCTAAGAATAATAGCCCCATGTCAGGTGTGGTAGCGCACGCCTTTAATCCCAGCACTCAGGAAGTAGAGGCAGGTGGATTTCTGTGAGTTCAAGCCCAGCCTGGTCTACATAGTGAGATCCAGGCCAGCTGGGGCTACAGGGAGACCCTGTCTCAAAAAGACGAAAAGGGAGGAAAAAAAAAAAAAAAAAGAGTAACAGCCCCACGGCTGGAGAGGTGTCTCAGTAGTTGTACTGACTGCTCTTGCAGAGGGCTTGGGTTTCGTTCCCACTCACATACATAAATAAATATTAAAAAAAATAATAATAGGGACTGGAGAGATGGCTCAGTGGTTAAGAACACTGGCTGTTCTTGTAGAAGACCTGGGTTCGAATGATCTGATGGCCTCTTCTGTCCTCTGCAGGCATTGCACAACACGGGCGCACTTACATACATGCAGGCAATACACTCCATACACATAAAATAAAAATAATATTAAACAAAAAAATAGCACCCAAACTCAAATTCTGTATGTAAATCCAGTATTTAAGGAGCAGGCAGTAGCAGAGAAAGCCTGTATAATTTCACCATCCAGGAGGATCAAGAAATAGAAGCTAGTCTGAGGTACGCGTGAGACCCTGTCACAAACAAAAACAAAACCTACCAACAAAAAAGGAAAAAAATAATTCAACCTAGTCAGCAGGAACTCACCTTCCGAAGGATATCTTCGGCTAGTGTGAGGAACGCCTTTTCGATGTTTATATTTGCTTTTGCACTAGTCTCAAAAAACCTAATACCATGTTCCTTTGCAATCTAAAAGAGAAACAAAAGAACATTATGAAATTAATAATCAAGGCTGCCAACTGATGATTGTTAACATGCTACAGGAAATACTAATTTTATTCTGAAGGCAGTGGTCTCAACCAGAACATGTAACAGACTATTTTGAGTCAAGATCTTTAAAAAGAAAAGAAGAAAAAAGTAATAAAAATAATCCTCTCTTACCCCAAGATATTTCAGATATTATAAATCAGGTATCTGGGTCTTAAATTAGAAGCTCAACGTGACATTTCTGCCTCCCTTTTAGTTATCAAACTTTAGGAATTAACACATTTCTTTAAAGTCTTAAGATAAATAAAATGTATAATCACTAACATCTTTTTCTGTGTAGTTTACATAAGGCTAAAAAAAACTGCTACAGGGGCTGGAGAGATGGCTCAGCATTTAAGAACACTGGCTGTTCTTGCAGAAGACCCAAGTTCGAATCCCAGCACCCACATAGCAGCTAACAACTGTCCGTAACTCCAGTTCCAGGGGATCCGACCACCTCTTCTGTCCTCCTCAGGCATTGCACGACAAGGGTGCACTTACCTACACGCAGGTAATACACGCATACACATAAAGTAATATTTAAAAAAAAAAACTGCTACAAGCACAGATTTTTTTACTTTGCTCTACATGTTGGATATGAAGTGAAAAATTCACTCAAATGATAAGTTTTTGTTTCCAACAAGCATTTAAAATACGGTCTGATAGGGCTGGAGAGATGGCTCAGTGGTTAAGAGCACTGACTGCTCTTGGAGAGGACCCGGGTTCGACTCCCAACACCCACATGGTGGCTGCGAACCATCCTTAACTCCAGTTCCAGGGGAATCCGAAGCCCTCTTCTGACCTCCACGGCACTGCACGACATGGGTTGCACTCACTTACATGCAAGGCAATACACTCATACACATAAAATAATAAATTATTAAAAACGAATAAATAAAATATGGTCTGACTAGCTCAGTGCATTCTATCAGCACAGCTATTAAACAGTCATATACATTAGCATCTTCACAAAGAAAAGGACAGTGCAACTATATTCAGATTCTTACCTGTTCTCCTTTGCCTCTAGGTACAACTCTTTTATCATCCATATCACACTTGTTTCCTAGTAACATTCTTTCCACATCTTCATTGGCATGCTAAAATGGGAAACATTTTTACTTTTGCATGCTGACATGAATAATGACTTTATATTTTCTAAACATGACCATATTTTTCTTAAAATTCATGTCTTTTGAGGGGTACATGTATGTGCACAGAAGCTAGAGAGCAATATCGAGTATTTTCTTCTATTGTTCTTTACCATGTTTTTTGAGACGGGCTGTCGGTGGACCTAGAACTCACCAACTGGCTAGACTGACTTCCCACTGAGCCCCCAGGCTCCTTTGTCTCTACCTTCCAAAGTTGGGGTTACAGGCATGACTTTTTATGTGGGTGCTGGATATCTGAATTAAGGTCCTCATGCTTGCAGAGCAAACACTTTACACACTAAGTCATCTCCCCAAACCCACATTCCCTTTGCTAAAGCCTATACTAATTCTTAAACTACCTACTAAGAGATACACACTAAGACAGGTTAGCTGCCTTCTAGAAGAGGCTGTCTACTTTCTAAATATATGCTCACCAAAACACAAGATACAGGTGAAATATCTGAAAATGGATTCACTTATGCATAATTTAAATCAAGCTGGATTACAATTTCAGATTTTATATGTACAAACCTATAAAAGCCTTAAGAAAAAATTTTAAGACCCCTGGAAGCCTCAAATAGTTACACTGCTACATCACAAAGAGATTCTACTCACACAAATCAGCTGAAAAACCCTTGTACACCTATAATATTCCTGACCTGGGAATTGAAGACAGAAGATTGCCACAAGTTTAAGGCATAGTGGGTTCCAGGTTAGTCTGGGCTACAAAGAACCTAACCAGAAAAAGAAAAGACAAAACAAAAAAACAAAATTCCTGCTCAAACTGCTGACTTGAATTTCATATTTTAAATATTTTATTTATTTTTATTTTATTTGTATGAGTGTATTGCCTGTATGTGTGTAAGTGTACCTGTGCCATGAAATGCCCGAGGAGGTCAGAAGAGGGCATTGGACCCTCTTGAACTGGAGTTACAGACCATTGTTAGCTGTGGTGTGCTGGGTGCCGGGAATCAAACCCAGTTCTCTGAAAGAGTAGCTGATGCTCTTAACCACTGAGCCATCTCTCCAGCTCAGGTTTCGTATTTTTAAAAAACCATTAAGAGGTTGTAGAGATGACGTAGTAGTTAAGAGCACCTGCTGTTCTTCCAGAGGCCCTGGGCTCATTTTCTATGAAATGCACCCATATGCCTGCTAACAACCAACTCTCCATAACTTCAGATCCAGGAGATCTGAGTCCTTCTTCTGGACTCCTCTGGCCCATATGGGCACTGTATGCAAATAGTTCCCTATATGCAGTCAAAACACTTATACACAGAAAATAAAAATAATTTTTATTATTAAATTTTGATTTAGGATTACAACAGAATTTCCAACACTTTCTAAAATGGCCCTAAGCATGCTGCTGCCATTTTACACTACAAATTTATGTGAAGTGGTATTTTCAGTATTGATAATATAAAATTAAAATATTGATCAACATTGAAAAACATCCATGTTCTACAGTATCAAATATTCAGTCAAGATTGAATACTGTGTATTTAAAAAAAAAAAACAAAATACAAAAAACATCGGCCAGGCATGGTGGCTCACACCTTTAATCCCAGCACTCAGGGAGGCAGAGGTAGGCAGGATCTCTGTGAGTTCAAGGCCAGCATGGTGTACATAGTGAGGTCCAGGTCAGTTGGGGCTAAAGGGAGATCCTGTCTCAAAAAGATCGATCGATCAATCAAAAGATCTAGTAGTTAAGAGCAGTGGCTGCTCTCCCAAAGGACCTGGGTTCCATTCACAGCATCTATGTGGCAGCTAACAACCTTCTGTAATTTCAGTTCCAGAGGCCCTGATGTCTCCCCACTTCTGGATTCCACAGACATTGCACGCAAGTGGTGCAATTACATACACGCAGGCAAAACAAACACATAAAAAAATAAAAGCAGGTATCTATTAGTATGTAAATTTGCCTTAGTCTTTAATAAATGGTAAAATTATATGGATACTGTAGAGTTCTTTCTTTTTTTTATGTGGAGGGGTGTGTCTTTTTGAGACAGGGTCTCCTTGTAGCCCCAGCTGGCCTTGAACTCAGAGATCTACCTGCTTCTGCCTCCAAAGTGCTGAGATTAAAGGCGTGTGCCATCACATGCAGCTATAGAATTCTTTTAAAAGAAATTACTTAAAATTTTTTTGTGTGTGGGCTGGAGAGATATCTCAGCAGTTAAGAGCACTAGCTACTCTTGCAGAAGGCTGGGGTTTGATTTCCAGCACCCACATGGTGACTAGCAACCATCCGTAACTCCAGTTCTAGGGGATCTGACGCCATCTTCTGACCTCTGTGGGCACTGCATGGCATGGGTGCACCTATCTACATGCAAGCAGTACATCATAAACATTAAATATTTAAAATTTTTTCATTTCATCTATTTTAATGTGGCATGCAAATACCACAGGGCAGGTGTGGAGATCAGAAGACAACTTCCATGAGCTGGTTCTCTCCTTCCATCATGTGGATTCTGGGGCTCAAACTCAGGTAGTCTTGGTGACAAGCACCTTTACCAGCACCATTTTGCCGACCCTAAAATAAATTCTTTACATAAATGTCTGATGTGCTATGCCTGTTGTACAAATCTATGTATCTGGGGTCACATAAAAATATCTCAGGTCAAGGCTGGAGAAATAGTTCAGTGGTTAACAGTATTTGTGCTCTTGCAGAGGAGCCAGGTTTGGTTCCCAGCTCCCACATGGAGGCTCCAGTTCTAGGGAAACTCTGGCCTCCATGGGTAACAGCAAACACACAAATGGTGCAAATATATACATACAGGCAAACATTTTTACACTCAAAATTCCAGGTCACAAGTGAAAAAAGGTTTTAAAAGGGGATGTTTAGTATTGCATTTAGAGTGACCCAAGTCAGATTATCACCTATACTGTTAATTTTTCAGCGGGAAGTTAAATCCTCTGTTGTACTGGTAAAGTAGAAAGAGCAAATACCTCTTAGTATGACTAGCCATTTACAAGTAAGTTTTTATAGAATGTGTTCTGACCTTGAGGTCTTACTACACTCCTACATGCCATGCCTATCAGAAATGCTTTTCAAAATATACTTTAGTAACAAAGAACTTATACCTAAGCATGACACTTTCATTATGTACGCGTCATCTACTTTCAAAGCACTACAGAAATGACAAAGTATGACAGTTCCAGCACGGACATGATTCTCATTTAATACAACACATTTAATGAGGCCGAAGAGATAGCACAGTAGTTAAGAGTGTGTATTGTGCCAGGTGTGGTAGTGCACACCTTTAATCCCAGCACTTGGGAGGCAGAGGCAGGTGGATCTCTGTGAGTTCAAGGTCAGCCTGGGCTACAAAGTGAGTTTCAGGCCAGCTGGGGTCACAAGGAGACCCTGTCTCAAAGATTTAAAAAAAAAAAAAAAAAAGTATGTGCCCTACTATTTGAGGAGAACCTGAGTTTGGTTCCCAGCACTCCTATGAGAAATCTCAGAGCTGCCTGGAACTCCAGCTACAGGGGGATCTGATGCCTCTGGCCTCTATGACTGTACTTGCGTGCACGAGTGCACACATACACACACACATAATTTAAAAAAATATTTTCTATTTCTTTTAAAAAAATTTTAATAATAACATGATTAGAATAAGCATTTCACTACAGCTTTAACATATTCATTAACACACTACAGAGCAAGAGTACATCTCTTTGACAAGTGGGTGCAAGTTTCTAGGTTCATAGTTAATACAGTTATACACTATTGAACTCAGTATGAGCCCTGTAACACATAAAATTGAGTTTTTTAACCTTTAAAAAAGATCTCCATTTCATTTTAGAATATATTGTTCCTTGCAGACTCATTGTTTTTGCTACTAACACTGAGATGTTGGCGCATGCACATCTAATCTGTATGTATCTGATTATTACTAGTCATAATTGATTGCACCTGGATCCTTTGCGCCTGTGTATGTCTATAAAGTCATCCAGTAGATTTCAATGGTATTGTTTATCACCTCTACTAATTAGTATGATGTAAATTTCCATGCTACCTCCTCAAATACATTTAAAAAAATTTGATTTTGTGTGTGTATACCACACAGAACATCCCAAACCATATTCGACTATACACCCACTTCCCAGATGGCACCCTCCCATAGCCTCCCCCCCCCATTCAGAACCCCTTATGCTCTGATACCCCTGCTACTGTCTGCTGTGTTGCCAGCACCCCAGCCCTTCCTCACAACTTGCCCTTCTGGTGAATCTAGTCAGCCTACCTAGAGGGCTTTGTTTTAGGAGGGTCAGCTGTTCCTCATCTAGCAGTAATCAGATGTCAATATTCCTTTAGATTAAGATTGGGGTCTGCTGTTCATTTTTCCAGTTCTATGCTGGGTTACTATCTGGGAGTCCCCTGGGTCACCCTGGCCAACACCACAAAAGATATTGCCGGTGTACTCTTAAGGTTGTTTGAGGATCTGTTCCTCAGGGGTCACATGGGCTTGGGAGGAGCCCCTAGTTCCTTTCTTTTACCAGTTCTACCTATGTGAAGATAAGTCAAAGGTCCTACTCGACCATGGCTGGCTTCACTTGGAAGCATGGAGGACATGTTTTCTCTGTGTTGACCCTCGTCTTTGTAGACTGGACACTGGTTCAAGCCCATCTGGTGGGGTCTCCTCAGCCTCCTTGATCAAGAGGACAGGTGACCCACCACAATTACAAGACATTTTGAGAGATGCTCATAGCCCCCTGGAACTAGTTGACCTAGGAGGGCACGGAGCAAAAACTATCCTTTATTTCCCTTAGACCAAATTATTATAGGCCTCAAAGTATGTCTGTTAAACATCCAAGAAGGTTAGTTTCACCAGTCTGGTACTTTTAATTACTGTGTGTCATGTAGACAAATCTTGGGCAAAAACCAACTGTTCTGAGATAAACCTTACCCAGACATATATTTCTTGATCTGCTATGTATAATTTGTCAGTAGGCTG